GCTTTTAGTACACAACTACAGAGTCACTTGTATCTCGTAACACAGCATCACTATAGTAAATTCTCAAAAAGTTAAGAAAACAAGCTGATCAAAGCAAAACTTCATCCTAAAAAACTACCAGTACAGCTGTTTGTGTGCCAAAAATGATACAATTTTTTTAAAATCCTAACACTCATTAATTGAATTGCTTCCTGGATGACAGAAAACCAAAAGCAATAAGATATATAAACAGTGACGATACATCAAATTTACACAAAAAAGCATAATTTCCTGCAATAAACTGAGGACCTGTTCAGTGTGTACCCTGCCCCTTGTCGCACGACATCTGCGATAGGCTGTATAAGCTCAACCCCTTGACCCTGAACTGGATAAGCAGTTAAGCAAATGAATGGATGTGCAAAATCACTGTATACAAAAGTGAAGCTACAGGTCAACTTTCTGCAAAGTAATGACATGCTGGTATAATTAATGACTAATTGACGCCACCCTTGCAAGAATTACATGTTGTAAATGTTTATTTGTTGGGGTTTGTTTTCATTAAAAATGAATGAAGCAGGTCCTGAATGCAATACTGAACACCCCAATTTCATCTGTTGGGCGTCAGAGCACTTCACATCCACATTATCAGGCTTTTCACTTCAGTCTCATCCTACAACAACAGTGCCAAAAAAAAAAAGCTGGTGGCAAAAAATAAAACCAAGCATTTCCTAACACAGAGTTTGTTAGACCTATTCAAATGACTTGGCTTGACACTGGCATTTTTTCATGACACTTGCTTCACAGATCTGACATTTTTGCACGTACTGAATTTCAAAAATTCAATTTTTCTGGAAATCTGTGAACGTTTTTTAGTTTAATGACAGCATAACTTTTCAAAAAGAAAGTGTGGATATGGCACGTTTACCCTTGTGCCCTCTCTTAAGCCTGAAATCAGCAGGAAATCTACAGTGTAACTGGTAACCCCTCTTAACCTGATGCCATAACGCTCCAGGCCAATCAGAATGTTCAAGCATTGCTGTAACACCAATAACATTGGTTTAAAAACAAAGGGCTTTTCAACACTAGTTTTGCACACAGATTTCCCCAGGTTCTGTTAATATTTTAATATCAAATATTTTGGATTTTATATATTGAGAAAAAAAAATTTTTTTTAAACTTCTTGCTTGAACTGCTGTCAAAAAGCCAAATTACCGTAGTATTTGTGTGAATTATTTTTAGCATTCATTCAAGTTTTTGCCCATGTTTTTATACATTATATTGAAAAAAGACACATGCATGCATAACAAAACAAACACAATTTCTCACTTTTTAAAACTGATTTCTTGTCTTTAGCATTTTTAATTAAACAGAGCTGAAATTATTTGCAAATTCAATTAATCTTTTTTTTTTGGTAAAATATAATACTCATTTTTATGATAACTGTTATAACTAATAATGGTGGATTTAACTGAAGCCAGTGGTAACCTTGGATTATAACCTCTCTTTATCACTGTGTTTCACTGTGAAAAGCCACGTACATGATTTACCGAATTGTTTCTTAACATACTGATGATGTCCTTGCCTAAAACATCTACCAGGGGAGAAATTAATAATCCTCATTTCCAATTACCAATTCTCTAAAATGCATCTCTTTTGAAAACAGTAACAAATTAAAATGAGCAGCAACATGCAAGAATGACTCTGAAGCTGTGGGAATATATGATGAGTGAAGACTGCAGGGGTTTTGTGCTAGTTAACAACTCTGTCTACAATCAGCTGAATTTATTTTGTCAAAGTATCTTGCTTTCATCTAAGAATATCTGGCTCCTAATGTCACAAGGGAGGGCATTAGCTGTTAGCTAACCTTCTTCTTCAGGGTGGAACAAATCCACAAAGCATAAAGCAGAAGTAATGTGATAAAAATATCAGTTGTTGTTAGGTAAGTCCAAGTAATGTGGCTAATCACCAGTCAAACTAATTAAATTCTCTTTATATGATATATATAAAAATAAATAAAAGAGAAATGAAGCTTACCTTGGATCCAGCGAGCAGGCCCAGAGAGAGTGCAACACGGGCTCGCAGGTCGGGTCTATCCTTCGGCCACACGTAAGACAGCATCGCAGACAGGATTTGAGCTGAATTCACCTCCTTCAGCTGTGTAAAAGACACAGCAGCAAACTTTATTTATTCAATAGAACACCTTGTAAAATATGTGGGATAACTGCTATGTTAACAGTCTAATGTGCCTCACTGGGCAATACTGGCAAACACCATACATTTAGCATTCAGTGTTGACAATCCCAGTAACCTAAAGATGGCTCTCTGGGCACGCACGTAGAACATCAAATGTCAACAGGAGTCCCCAAGGAGATATGGCAGCCACGATGACAGCAGAGTCTCCAGGTGGACTTGGGGATCCAGTCTGACACTACAAGTCCCACGAGATACCTGGGCTGTCATCCCAGCTGAGGCCGAGAGCCCACTGGTGCCAGCATAGCTGTTTACCCACGCTCCAACACACATCTGCCACAGGGACTCTCCACAGGCCGGAGAATATGCAATAATTCCTCTAATCCACTCAATATGGTGGCACCATGTTACGACGCTGCTGTATGGCAGCACCTCCTAACAAATTACAGTGAAAGTGCGCCCAGCACCTGCTTTTAATCAAATACAATCAGCAATGTGTGACACTGCTGAGGGAGGATTAAAATGAACAGTTTAATGCACTACTGAAGTTTCTGTAAGGCCCAACTTCGTTACAGTTACTCGTTTTATCTGGAAATATTAAATGTAACTCAGCTTTCAGTTAAACTCTTCAATGTGGAGTTAATATTAATACCTAACCCAAGTTCTTGTAAAACGAATGTCTCTTTTATTCAAGTCACATAACATATGTGAAATTCTCAGGAGTCTTATTTTAGCGTTTCGCCCATTAGGCAATGAAGCCATTAAGAGTTTAAGAGTTCAGCCCCCTAACCCAATTTGACAGAGAAAACTCATTTGACCAGCAATAAGACAGTCTGTGTCAACGCAACATGCGGTTACATTTCCAGGTAGGTGTACATTAGATTACAGCATAAGGTTTCAGAGGGATTTGCAATTATGATGTAACTACAGCGTAGATTCAATGCAGCAGTTTAAATCAGCTTTAAGGCTGCGTAACACCAAACTGATTCACAGATATGACACTGTTTAGTTTTGTCATCTTAAGAATAACATTGGTCAGCATTTTCAAACAAAAAATTAAAGGTTTCATGTCATCCAAGCATGAAAAGTTTCACGAAGTAATCATTAAAACACGGTACCGTACTCACCACATTTTTTGGGTCTGCGCTTAGTCCCCCGCCTGCATTTCCGTGCCAACATGTCCGTTTGTCTGTCACCTGTAAGTGCTGTGGAAGGGGAATTCACTGTTACGCTATATTAATTAATTTGAATAACAGGACGCCAATATGTGATTATTTCTTAATACACACTTACTTTTGCAGCTTCCAAAATCTGACGACTTTTTTCGCTCCTGTTGGTGCTCCATGTTGCCGTTCGTAGGTGTGGAGGTGAACTTGACTGAAACACACAAGAGCACTGATTTTACCAATGTTCCTAAATTTTTCAATAATCATGTTTACCACACAGAGAGAAAGTGTAAAGCAGTAAATAAAAGCAAGTAAAATTTAATAACCCAAAATTCACATCATGTAAAACAAAGAGCAGCCGTGCATGTTTGATTTGTCACAGTTTTTACTCCGGATGCACTTCCCTTCTATATTCGATTCCTCCCAGAATCAAATGGAGGATTTTTTTACCTCTTTAGGCAAATGGGTAAACTACTACGCTCACATCATTTAAACAAATAAGTACTAAATATTTAATTCATTCAGTGATTTCAGCAAATTTTTTAAGCATTCATAGTCGGAGTTCAAAGGTTATGCAAACCAAACAAACAGAAGAGAAGTTGCCTAAACTGGTTTTTAAATAAAGGTTTGGTAAACGTTTTGAAACACCGAGAACAGGATATACCACACTGAAGCACAGTAATGGATCAAGCAGGACCTGAGTGCTTAAAAACACAGCATCTGTATGGTTCATTTAAGATCAAACTGAGCGTAAACCTACCCTGTAATAAGACTCCAGTGACTATGAGTGAAATAGGTTAACATGTTTGATACTTTCATTTCCTATAAGACAGCACGACTGTAAACATCCCTCTTATCTGTTTTGACCTGCCATGTGAAGATGACAGATGAACGGCATACTTAACATGAGGTGAGAGTGAACCGTTCTAGTGTCAGACACATTAAATGGGAATGTGACAACTTGGAAGAGTTGGAGCTAAGAATGAATAACTTCTAAAAACAGTAAATGTGCCAAATAATTTATAACAGCGCGTTTACGTGACATGACAGTTACCCTAGGTTTGACAGGGTGGGACGGTCTTATCTAAGTTTTCAGTAAAGACCGATAACACGTGACTGGGACCTTTGACAGGCGTCAGACTTTGCACGCGCACACACACACATATTGAACTGTATTTTTAAGAAGCCTGTTTGACTTTGACGTGCTTTCCGTTCAGCTGACATACATTCAAAACTAATAACGACGTTATGACATAACATGAGTAACCTAAGTCGTTAAGTTAATGCAGGGTTAGCTACTTAGCCAGCTACTTAAAGCAAACCCAAACGGCTCTTTTAACAGATGACAACCGCCTGTCTCTCTAACAAACCAGAAAACAAATCATCTATCTAGGTATCATTCCTGAAAGTTACTTAGAAAGACTTTTTCTCTGCCCTTGCCTGGTGGCTAAAAGCACCGTGTCCTCTCTGACCAGCCCCGTCCTCACTCACCGGATATGTGCTTTGGCGTGCATGGCCAGCCCCCGGCTCATTACGACTTTTATTCCATACATGATACGAGCTCGTCTGCCGAATGAGAAGCGCTAGTTTTCGTTTTTGAAAGTGAATGCCGCATTTCAGCGGTGCCAACATCAGCGCCATGTTGTATGAGGAAGGAGGGCAGTTAGTCAACACGCCGGGTACGTCATATCCGGCCTTCTTTAACGTCGTGTCAAAGCTAGCAGGCAAGCAGGTTTTCTAATCGCTGCGTTTTGGCAAGGAATTGTTTTTAACACGACCTGTTTCGGTGTCTGTACATCTGCGAGTGAAGTCCTAACGCGGGTGTCTGTGCAGTAGCTACTCGAAGTTTAAGAGTTGAAGCTAACGGCAGAGCACGTTGTGTTCCTTGTGACACACCGTTAGTACGTGTGTGGCGCGGCGGAAAGAAGCTAGCTGACTTTAGCATAGATATCTCTTGCTTTTACTCAGGATGCCATGCCACAATCAGCAGCTGAACAATGTGAGCAGTGGCCAGGAGCACCCAATGAAGCAAGTTCGGTTTGCAAACAGTAACAGCAGCGTGCCTGCAGTAGTATCCAACTCCGAACCAAGTGATGCCACAACACAGCCTGACAGCCAGGACAACCTGGGACCCCAGCTTAAGCTGCTTCCTCTGAATGACCAGATCCGTGAATTACAGACAATAATCAGAGACAAGTGAGTCCCCCGCTCTTGTTTACTGACACACAGGCCATATGCATAGTGGTTGTGGTACAAAAGCAAGTAACGAGCCTTATATAAAATATAGACTTGTGTTTATGGTCTCTGTAGAAAACTATAATTAGTAAATGGAAAAACGTAGCTGTTCTTCATTTCACTGAACTGGAACTATAATAGAAAACCAGGAAGGTATGTAATTTAAAGGATGCCACTAATCCTAAAAAAGGCAGCTTACCAAAAATCTAATGGAATGTAAATTTCCAGGGGAAGTCAAAGAGTTTGCAGTGATATTAGATAGGTCAGGCAAACGTATAGCACATCTCAGATCTTGATGTAATATTAGAAAAACAAAGCGTGAGGTTTAAATAACTCACTCTTTAAACATATATCAAATGACCAAATGGTAAATGGCCTGTATTTATACAGCGCTTTGCTAGTACCTAAGGACCCCAAAGCGCTTTACATATCCAGTCATCCACCCATTCACACACACATTCACACACTGGTGATGGCAGCTACATTGTACACAGCCACCCTGGGGCGCACAGAGAAATGCTTTCAGCCTGACCATCTCCAATTTCCTTTCAAATGTTAGAAGGGGGGGCATGCTTCTTATTAAAGAAACTGCAACATTTTACCTCTATATTGTTATAAGTTTACTCATAAAATAGATATTTTTTCATATAAATA